AGAGAGAGAGAGAGAGCCACCTGACAGTTGAACTGTCTACATCTTCTGGCATATCACGTTGTAACACGTTTCGGTGCAGCTAGCCAGGATATGTCCTGTTTTATTAAACTCGCTTTGACCTCAGAGCTGCAGATTCGAGAAAGAGAAAAAAAAAAGGATTGGACCTCATCTCATCCCACTCGGAATGGGTCTTTCCCAATCTTCAGGTACGTTCTCTCTGACGTGCAGTGTCAGCACGCGAGGGGAAAATCGGGTGACAAGGGGTGACCTCCGGACTTGATCGATGTTTTTCTGCCCAATTCCTACGATCGTTCAAAGTCACGGATTCACGGCTCAAAGTCATTGTACTGATCTCTAGGTACCTCAACAGTCCCCTAAGGGCCTACATCAGGTCTCATCACCCTTGAATGCTTTGGACAGTCTTTCCACGTCATGGAGGGCTTCTCTGCTGATGCGGGAGACAACTTCTCGTTGACAATTATCATGCGTTTAGCCCTGGCGGCTGAAAGTCCGTTTCATTATCATCCACCCCACCTGCTCGATTCCTTTCTTTTTCGTCTTTCTTTTTTACGTTGCTGGCCAAAGCTCTCGTTCTTTTTCTCTTCCACTTGAAATCGTGCTCTCTTTTCCGTCTTTCTCCACCCTTCATCCTCTTGCATTGCAATATCTACCTCCCTTGCTTGGGTTCTGGTGGGGTTTCCAATATGATACAATCCACCATGTCGTGGCAGCCAAAGCTTCGCCCCAAGGGCTTCTCGCATAGCATTGATGACTTTGCGGCTGTGGCTTCGTTGTCGGAACTAGAGCATCGGGCCCGGACGGGCGAGGACAAGCGCGACCAACGTGTTTTCCGGGTCAAGCGTAAGCATGTTTTGAAGGCCTGTGATCGCTGTCGCGTGAAGAAGACCAAGGTATGGTCGACTCAAATAGCATGGGGATTGTGATGTGACTAACGCCTCTCAGTGTGATGGGAAACAGCCTTGCAATCGCTGCTCGGTATATAACCACCCTTGCCTATTCCGTGAGAGAAAAGCCACACAGACCAAAGTATACTCTCGAGGGTGAGTGCCGGCATTAACTCTCCAGCCATGCCCCATCCTCAAAGGCTCATAGACAAACCACACACAGATTTGTCGAAATGCTCGAATCTCATCATTCCCTGGTCGTAAAAGCCCTCCAGAAACTCTACAAATTCTGCATCAACAACGAAGGCTTCCCAGGCGATCCCCTCGCCGAAGCCCCAGACGGGCACCCCCTAACACACGCGATCCTCGACCGCCTAGGGCTGATCAAACAAGCCGAAGAAAACGCAGACGAGCCAGACGAAGACTCGGAGGATCTCCGCTACCTACGACTCCTGTCAACATCCACCGAATGTAGCGTCACAGCAGAGCCCTCCCCAGAGCCAACAACGCCGCCAGAGCCCTCCCCAACCATCTCACGCCCACCATACCCAATCCCAACCCCCATATCCATGCCCAGCCGCACGGCCCCCACAAGCTGGCCATGGGATCCCCAGCCCGTCCATCAGACAAGCTACAGCTACCCAGACGCAGGGTACCAGGACCTCATGGCGCTGCAGCAACGCCCGTCCTTAAGTGCGCCAGATATGGGCCCTGATATCGCACCTCATGTTGATCTGTCCTCGGCATCTTCTGGCCTACCGCATCACCCTCAACAGGCGCTCCACGAACTGTCGTTCCCGTACGTGCTGGATGGATGTTGTGATTCCGGAACTTCCCAGCAGGATGTGAAGCCCGTGATTGCGAGGTTACCGCCCGGTCTCATGGCTGAGTCTCATGTGCATTCCCATCATCTTGCTGGGAATCTATCTGCGGAGATGATGGGTGATTTCCATTTCCAGGCACATGACTCGTTTTATTCCGGGTTTACACCGGGCTGGAATTTTCCTTCGGGCTGACTCTGGCTTGGTATGAATGATATCATGGACTGTTTCTCCTGTGTTTGGGAAATCCGTGACCTTCGTTTAGTTGCTTTGTTTTTTTGGGGGGGGGGGTACAAGCTGTTGAGCAGCTTTCCTTTTCATTTCACTTCTTATCAATATTTCTTCGTGCCATTTCACTTTCTCATTTCTCATCCGAGTCATTTTGAATTCCATTCTTGTCCAGCTCTTCATTTTCAATTTTTTTTTTTCATTTTTCCTCTTTCTATACCCCCACGTCTGAATTTGGACTCCTCCGCCGGAGCATTGAGCATGACATCCACGCAGGATTCTAAGATTGGAAGATGTCTGGCACGTTGAGCCCTAATCTTTCCTGACCAGTCGTTTTCTTTTTGACTTCTACTTCTCGGGTTTACACAGGTCTTTCTTTGGATCGTCATCCTTGATCTTGGATTTGAATTTCCTTTCGATTCTGGTAACTAGTTTGAACGATGATCGCCCTATCAATCTAGACACCAGTTCTTATGCCTTTGACTCTAAATTCTTCGAATTCCTAGCGCTCGCATTAGACTTAGGCAGCGATTTGTACGGAAGGGACTGGGAGGGCCACCTACGATGAGATACAGAATTAGCATGGTCTCATCTTACCCTCGTCAGAGAGATCCCAAGGAGGACATTCCCTGGCTTGAAAGGTCATCCATCCTTCCCATCTCGGGTCTTTTTTCCGACGACATCAACCATCATAGTCGTAACAGGTCCTGCGGAACGGCTGAGTACTCTGTGCACTATACAACCCATCCCAGCTGACCTACAACCAACCCGGACGAAACGATGACACAGGAAACCCCGAAACTGCTTCACACCGGATCTAGATCTCGCACCAAGTCATACAGTGGTATCATACATGCACGACCTGACACAGATATCTCCAGCATCAACCTAGGGCAGAGAACAGCCGCCGTATCAGAGGTTTAAATCGGAGATCGTAGATCGCAGCAAGTGCGTATCTCACATTGTCCGTTCGGTCTTGGGGCTGGGGGCTGGGGGCTAGGGGCTAGGGGCTGGAGGCTGGGAAGAAAGGACTAGAGTGCATAGGGAAGGGTTGTCTGTGGGACTTGAGGACATGCAATGTATCGGTTGCTGGGGTTGTCTGTGTACCCTGGTTTAGGTACTTCAATGGAGGTCCCGGGACCCGTTGAGATGTAGATTTCGATGACGATTGTAGTCTACCGACGGAGGTATCTCGCAGTTGGGGATGTGGTGTGATATGGGACAGGGAATAGCATCGGACAATGCAGTTCAAACATGGGATGTGTATACCACAAGTTGAATGCTGTATCATGCCCTTTCCTCGCCAGTGCTAGCAGAAACAAGATTTCTGGTATTACTATGAACGGAAGAGACAACGTGAGAAAACGAAGTAGGAACCGACAAATCAAACCCAAGAACTTTGCATAGCTTGGCCTGTGTTCATGGGGCCTCGTCACTCTGAGAATTTAAAAAGAGCACGAAAACCCTCGAGGAATAAACATCAGGGTCAAATCACCCATGCTTTTTTGAAACACGGGGACCAGTTACCAGCCTAAGATTTTTTTTTCGATATAATACCGATCACCGAACAAGGAGAGATGCGGATGCAATGGTGCTCTGGATCCTCCGTTGTGGCCATCGGGAGAGCAGGATAGAGATGCTACATCGGATCAGATGCCTATGCACGATAAGCGAGTTCGACAGGAAAATGCAGCTTCATATAGGTATCTGCCTCCGCGCCTATGACCAACAGGTATCAAAAGATCAAACAGAACATGGGACCTGGTATAGCCGTCCACATGGTCACTGGCGATCACCCCAGCACGGTTCAAACGATAACTCGGCAAGTGGAAATCCTTCCTGCTCATTTCAATGCAGTGGCTGATGTTGTCGATACCGTGGTGAGGATGACTAGTCAGTTCGACGAACTTCCTGATCGAGAGAAAGATTTGCTTCTGACCCTGCCTTTGCTAGTTGCACCCCGCAGACCAAAGGATGTCTGATTCACGCCCTTCATGGCCAGGGGTTGCAGTGATGATCGGAGCCGGAGTGCATGATTCTGCCAGTGGCCGAAATTCTCTGGACGATCACGAGTATATCGGGTATGTCCGAAAAGGGTATTGGAAATAGAGGTGACTGCCCCCGACATAATGAACCGTCCTCCCTGGAGGAAGCAAGGTATCCTCACCCAGGAGATGATCATCGACAGTCTATTGGACGGTCTCTAGACACAGCGCTCTGCCTAGCGGCATTTTGTGTTCGTGCATAGGGATTCGGCAAGGGCAACCTAGCCCGTGGCTGCAACAAGGAGTGGCCAGAGGGGATCAAAGAATGCAAACTGGTTGTCCGAGCATATGCAACGACCTTTGTGTGCATGACTTTGTTGGCGTTGTTCCTAGAGTTTTTAAGAAAAAAGCGTCAACATGCGCCGGTCGTTCGTTCGCATATAAAATTCCACTAGATGCTTGACTTGGTGCAGGGACGGCGTCTGGTAGAACATATACTTTTTCGGGTATATCACGACCGGATCACCCATGTTCCTGATCTTCTACATGCCCCTTTTGAAAGAAGTCGTCTTAGCACGCACATATCTCACCGGAACATACTTACTGGCAAAACTTGGAACCTCATTTTACGGGGATTGGGGACACCCGGGGGAGGTCTTCCGAGTAGATGGTGGGGAAATTGGACTCAGGGATTGCTGTCTCACCCGCCAAACATGTGTATGGGTCATCGATCAATGCAGATTTGACATGGTGGTCTTTTCAGTAGATGCCAATCGATACTGGCAAGTCAACTGCCACCATTGTCGGTAAATTGGTCAGAATCAACCGATCTTTTGGCTAATGTAACCAACTTGGTGGTCCGGGGTACATCATTTGAAGTCCTGGTTAAGGTTAGAGGCTATCTGAATGGCCGACGATGCTTGCGGATAGGTTGAGAGATTTGAATGATTGGCTAAAAGAAGAGTAATACATTTATTCAATCCAGAATCGATTTGTCACCAAACTGCAAGTGGTCCCGTTAAAAAATCACCGTATCACGATAATCGGGAGCACCTAGACTTACACGAGCTTATCACCCAGAAGATTAAATGAGTTAAGAGACGAAGTGGAAGAATTACATCGCCATACCTAAGTCACTCCTGGTCACTCCGTGGCTACCCGATGAACAAGTGAGTTTGACCAAACCCCAGAACGCCGTCAAGACAACAGTAGGCCTAAGCCCCATGGGCAAGGGCAAGGGCAAGGGCAAGGGCAAAGCCAAGGTCCAGGGTTCAAATCAAAGGCTAATGTCACACATACACATCACACAAGCTGTGGTTACAATCGATCAATCAATGCATGAGAAAGGGAATCAATCCTCGTCTTCCGTCTCGGTGTTGGTGTCACTGGTATCGCCTGCGTCGCCGTCGGTATCACTCTCGCTGGAGTCGTCGGAGTCCTTCGACTTCTTCTTAGGTGCTTGGCCTGTCTTGATCGCCTGCATTTGGCCGGCGATTGAGTCTAAGAGAGAACGTTAGTAAAAGTGAAGTGGCGGTTTGGGTGGGTGGCATCTGAGGTGGACTTACCCTCGTCTGGCTCGCTGATGTCGTCTTCCTCTTCCACGGCAGCTGCCTTGGCAGGGTCGTCAATGTGCAGGGTAATTTGAGCCGTGACGTCAAGTCCCAAATAGCTGTCACAAATCATGTGGAGGATGAAGGTGAAGTCGCCGACCTGCGGGGGAGCCTGGAACTGCATCTTGAGAGTCTGGACGTTGAAGGTGGGCTGGCCGGCCTCGTCAAAGATCGGTTTGTCAAATGTCGTGAACGTGAACGGCGGCACGGCCATCTTGCCCTGCTTGCCGTCTGCTAGGAAGATGTTCCAGCGAGGGGAGTGGTCGCGCGCTAAGTACGGTGCGTGGGCAAGAGGCGGCTGGATGGTTTCAATGTTCGCCTCGACCTTCTTGCCATCCTCCATCGTGGCTGCGCGGTTCTTGGCCGGCTTGCGACCCATCAAGGCTTCCAGGTCATCCTCGTCGGGGTCAATGTCCTCCAAGTCGAGCGGGTTCACCAGCGGCACGGATGTGCTGCCTGGAGGGATAAAGCGGGCTTTGACTACCAGCTGCACTAGACTGCTGGGCGTGATCACTTTTTCTCCCATAACCTTGAAGAAGATCCGCTCCGGGTGGAGCATGGGGAGTTGCTTGGCAACTAAGACGGCGTCGTTGTATTGCTTATCAGAGAGAAGACCAGCACCGACCGTAAGGCTGCGCCGTTGAGCCTCTGGCAGTGCCATGTATCTTTGAACGCTGAAATGCTCCTTGGAGTCTTCGCCCTCTACGGAATTGACAATAGCATCGGTGAAGTGGGGAAGTTGCAGCAGCGGTGATGAGCCCGGGGACACAGCTTGAATAAGATTCTGGGAGGTTTTGAAGGCCCCGATGATCGGTCCAAGGTTGCCAAATGCGAGTGAGATAGCTGTGAAGGCCTCTGTGAGAGCAAGGGCGACAGGAGCCGCTTCATATTTTTCTGCGGGGGCTCAGTTAGTGGTATGTTTCGGAAGGTCATGGGGGCAGTTGTCTTACCGGAATCCAAAGAGGCATCACCAATATCAATTCGGCCAAGATAAGCCCATAACAAAGCCAAAGCCTTCCGATGAGAGGAGCTATCCAATTGCTTGAGCACCTCACGGTCCTTGGCCGTGAGGAACGAGTTACCATCTGCCAGCACACGCTTCTCGAGCTTGGCCAGACCAGACTCAGCCCGAGCGCCCTTGAGCATATCATTGAATTCTTCGCCAGAGGACAAAGCGCTGATAACTCCACCTCCGGTAATGTCGTCCTTGTACTCACGGAAAATGTTTCCGGCGCTAGCGACAAGAACCCGCTCTTTTGTGTAGCGCTGAGATCCATACCACCACTTGCCGACGATATAAGGTAGAAGGACGCCCAAGAGAGCACCATAGACCATCAAAACATATTTGCCATTGCCCTCCATGACAATGAACTTGGGAAGGGCAATGCCGATGCTAAAGCTCTGCTTACCGTCGGGGTGGCCAAATTGGAGGTAGTTGTTTCGCACCTCCTCGTCAGTGAGAGCTTTATAGGCCTTTGTGAGCTCCACAAAGCGCTCGTTGAGCATCTCGATAGTCTCATTCTTAGCGGGGTCAGGGCGGATTTTGTCGGGGTGGTAGATCAGAGACATGCGCTTGTAATGTCTGGAGATAGCCTTCTCATCTGCGCTCTGTGTTCCGAAAAGTTTAGTAAGTTAGAATCCTCTGTGCATTAGGCGAGCATGCGCCGAGCTAGAGAACTTACCCTCGAGACACCCAAAATATCATAAGGGTCGTATGCCTTCACCACTGTTCTAGCGGTGGCGACAATTAAGTAGACCATCCATGCCATTACAGCATATCCGAGGATGACCGTAATTATGCGCTTGATTCGGCGCTCTTTGCGCAGGCGCTTGCGCTTCTGCGCGTCGATGAGGTCCGCATGTTTAGGTTTGAAATCGGATTTGATGCGGGGAGCGGTATTCTCAAGCTCTGTAGATCACATAAAGTGGTTAGAGTTTTGGCAATAACTTCTAGTATAGTTTTGCCGAAGCTCACCTTTGCTAGGTCGGAGGAGATTATAGGTAAGAGGGAGAGTGACCAAGCCGGTCAAGGTGAGGATGAAGAAGGGGAAGAATTGGCCCTGACAGCCAAAATTAGCATGCCTGTGTCGTTATCAAATCAGGTCCCAATCCTTACCTGCTCATCATAGGTATAGTCTGACGACATCCTGCGGCGGGTTCAGGGTACAGACAGCGGTGGCCGCTGGCCGCGGAATTTAAAGATCGTGTTGCACAGGGCTGTTGACAGTAGCCACTTTGGACGGTCCAGAAAACACGTTTGGATTGCAGAAAAGAAAAAAGAGCCTACTAAGAACCCAAAATCCCGGCTCACAAGAAACAAAGGAGTGATGTAGGGGGAGTCAATGTCGCTCTTCCTGATCTGGTGATGACCGTGTCCTCAAGCAGGGTCGACTCACCGCCTGCCTTAAGTGGGATTGAATACGTGGCAGTTTCTTTGAGCGCTGGAGGCGGTGAAAGGACACGGAGCTGAGGCCCGTCACTACTACTAGAACTAGATCTGCCATTAAATACTGCGCATTTGTTGGTCTATCTTACAATTTATGCCAGGTTTTTAAGGAAGGGTTTCTTCAAGGTCAAAAATGTTCATAATTTTTGGTGTGAATGAGCTCAAGGCTGCACATGTGCTGATTAATTACACATTTCAATAGAGGTTACCGTCATAATCGAATCTCCAATCGAACCCGCATGCTTGCAGCCTTAACCATTTCCTTCTCGGCATAGAAGTTTTGACAGAACAGATCCATCGCACAATTCTCCCCTCATAACAAAGATAACCAAAACCTCTCTAGTCCGCCCAGAAAAGGAGTTCAAGCGTCAACAACTCAAGGTTGGACACAAACTCAACCAAACCGGACGAAGCAGAGGAAGTTTCAGCCAGAAAATGCGTGACTCATTTTCTCATGTGCGATACGATCAGTGGACCAGAATCCACACGGCCGGGTCAAGAGGGACCAATCCAACACCCCGTGAGAGGCATCTTCATTGCTGCAAGTCGGGGACCCGGGATAATCCGTGCGATCTGGCGTTCTTGCCACTTCAGTGTGGTATGGGCGCATTTCGAGTGGGCGACAGAAGACGCAGGGCGTCGTGTGATCGGGTTTTAGTTTCGATGGCATTTTTAGTTTTGTTTTGTTTGTCGAATGCGGATTCATAGACGTCGCAGAATCGTAAAAAATCGTTGTTTACTTTTGTTGACTGGAAAAGGGGAAGAAAAAAAAGTGGGTGGCAAAACAGTCCGTCCGAGTGAGCCCAAACGGAAACTTCGGACGTTCAATCTCCAAGGGCAAGGCCACTCGTTCTGAAAGAGATGTCAGAATTTGATATGAATTTTTTCGGGTGAATCAGCAACGAGACTGATACTCACGAGTCAATGTAGTCGAGTCCACCGAAGTACTCAAGCATCCGGTAACAGAGGCTCACATCGTCGCCCGGCTCTCCGCCGAACAGACGGCACTGTGCTTCTTCCAGCCCTGGTTCCAGTCGCGACGGGCGCTCACGGGTCTGCCAGGCTGTATACCCATAGTGCCATGATGGGGCGAGGGTGGCTGCCGGAGATCCACGTGAAATGCATGAGTCAGGAGAGATATCGGTAAACACAAGTGCATAAAAGCTTTTCTGAGGTTTCCGAAGGGTTGGTTTTATTTCCACGGGGAATATCGGATGTAGAGCGAGAACAGTGTGAGGTGTAGCGTTACGGTTGTTTGAACGGCGAGTACGGCGTCTGTTATGCCTCTGGCCCATTCTCGGAAGTAAAGATTCAAGTGGTGAAAGAACTTTTGATGTAGAGGGGAGCGACCATCACCTCCTGGAAAGGATGAGATGAGGCACTGAGAGAAAAAAAACGAAAGACATCATGCACCAGGGGTGACTCTTTATAGAGTGAGTCTCCAAGTGAGTCACTTTTAAGGAGAAAAATGGGCAAGACCCACTTTCTCAGTGGGACCATCCCGAGAGAAGATCACCTTCGATCACCTTATGGCTTAAAAAATGGCGCCAGGTCCTACAAGGTCCTAGGCCTTCGGTCGGAGTACGGAGTACAAGGTCCTTCACTAGTTCCAATTGGTTTTTAACCGGTATTTTTGGTCCGAAATTCCCATCGCGTCATTCGAGTACCCCTTGAGTTACAAATCTTGGTCAAGCTACTTTTTTTTTACTTTTTTTTTTTTTTCTAAAATGAGGTGATTTGCCTTGGGAATGAGCCTCAACACAATGAGCCATAAGGTCCCGAAATTGCAAAAAAAAAAAAGTTTGAAACTTGAAAAATTGAAACAACAAGAGAATTGAAACGTCAAATGACAACTCCATACTGTGTCATGAGGTGATTGGAAAACTGACTAGGGCCGATGCCGGATTTCCTCAAGAGTGGACGGAAGGGCGATCAGGCAACAAAGAGCCTTCCGACTTTACCCTAAACTGCATTAATCCATCCTAAATCACCCTAAAAAAGGCACCTATTCGAGTCATGGTCCCGGAGCCTTCGTCTCCGGTCAGCTTAGTCAATTTTCTGGAACAAGGGATGTTTGAAATTTTTGCACCTTACATCGAACGCACGTGTGCAACGTGTTCAACGTGGGGGAAATTTATGGATGCCTGAAAGCTCCAAGGCAATAGAGCTCTGAGTGGTTTTTTTTTAACAATTTTTTTCCCTCGGAATTCGGGAAAGAAATGCTTCCTTGGCTATTGACTCACTTTCAAAAATCTAATCGAGTGCCTGATTTGTGAGGACCCTAAATTTAGCCCTGAAGATTCTACACCTGAAGTCTCCTTCGACACCCCTTGAACAAACAAAACAAACATATGCTATACAGATGCAAACACATATCTGCTGAGTCACTTATCTTCTGGGTCAACAACATAGTCACCAATGTTGGATTAAGGATCCGAAGCGATTGAGAAACAGCCAGTCTACCTTGGATAATTTCCAGGTATCAAAAGCTCAGAATTGTGGAAAATGCTTACTTATCTGTGTCACCAACACACGATTTTCAAGAATACCATAAGATAGAACACGGCAAAGTCAGGCTAAGCCGAAACGTGGTCCGTGGTTTTAGAACGTGATCTCCATCGATCAGCTCTAATTGCATAAGGAGTTCTAGAATGAGAATCGAACGAAAAAAAGAAGTAGGCCCTACATTGAGGAGCGTAACTCTGCCAAATGACTTAATTGACGTAGGTCGATTTACTCCATCGCTCGATCTTGAATACCATTAGGATTATTCACGGATACAGTGCGAAATGTCGTGCAACCATGAATTCACGTCATTGCCTTGTTTGAGTCGGTAGAGCGATAGAGGCAAAGATGGGGCACATCGGGTATGGATATATCACCATAGATAGAAAGAACTTGTTTGACACAAAGATCCAACGGAGTCTAAATTTACCAGCCCTGGAAGTAGGCGATATCCCAGCTTTAACTAATTACAGAGTTTCTACTCCGTACATAGTTGCCAATCGATATTAGGCGTCACGATCCCGTGTTCCAAAGGCCATCTGAATGTCCCTTGAGGGCGATGGGCTTTTTACATGTTGCAGGTGTTCCAACCGGCGAGTTCCTGAGAATTTGGTCTCCTACTTAGTAGACTACTGGCCCTCAATTGCCAATTACTTCAGTAGGAATCGTTCGATCTGGGGCTTCATTTCGCGGTAAATCCCCCGGCACCCTACCAATGCCTGAGATTCTCGATGTTAGCCGGTAGGAGGCACTTTAGGCCCGGGGGATGGAGGTTGGATCGAAGAACTCTTAGTCAAAGGGCGACGCGGAAGCAAAGTCAGTCGTCAGGTGTCACACACGTTTAGATTCTTTTATTAAAGGGGTGGCCGTGAAGCGATCGCCCGGGCAGACCTTTTGAAATATTCATTACTGTCTGCAGATTATGGCCAAAAACCATTTGCATCTATATGTATATACGATGTGAGGTTCGTGAATCCCAAAACGAGAACTCGAAAAAGCGCAATAGCCGAAAAGAAAGGGACCAGTCTCCCCTGGGTAAAAGTCAACAAGAAATCGGCCATATCAAGTATCTGGAGCAAGATGCCATAGCTATCATTAAACAGGTTTCCCATCCAGTCACAGGCAAAGTCAAATACAAGAGCAATGCATTAATGATGTATAACGGCGTTAACGATGGCGAAAGACTGGCAGAGGCAACGAGGAAAGAGAAGACAAGATTGAAGAACCAGGCCGCAGACGAAGAGATCGAAAAGCGAAAAGGAGAAAAGGAGGAAATGGTAAATGGAAAGGAAGGAAAAGGAGGAGAAAAGTAAGAAAGAACAAATGGCGAAAAAAAAACCGACGTACACAACCCGCGTGTGTATTGTATTGTACAGGGCCCAAGAATCCGGACCATGCATGGCTACCAAAGGCCATCATTCTTGACCAAGATGCTCATGAATAGGATCCAACCACCAGATGAACCATTCCCCTAGGGAGGAAGGGACAGCTCCTAGCGCTGTCTGCTTGCGCATCCCGAAAAAAACACAGACCGTAGCTCCAAAGACATTCATGACAAGTAGGAAGGAATCGAAAAATTCGACTAGCTACCGTGTAGCTTTGATGTAGTTCCAATCCGTTACTTCTTGCGGTTGGCTCGGCGGGTAGCAAGATCGCCCTCAGCGAGCCATTTGCTGGCCTTCACCAACTGAAGGATATTGACGAACTGCTTGAAGGCCATGATGGGGAACGAGATGCCGGTGATGATCCATGGCCAGGTGCTCTCGAGCTTGTTCGCACGCGCCATCTCGAGGGCACCGGCGCTCCAGGGACTAGCGAAGAGGCTGGCTGGCTCGGGGTGGGCCGGGTTTCCGGGCTGGGAATCGGAGACAGGCTGCAGGAGCGATGGAGACAGGGTTGGCGAAGAGAAAGACAGGAGGTACAGGCCGATGAAGAAGGCTTCGTTGGCGGTACAGCAGATGAACAGAACGACCTAAGAAAAGTTGCAAATAAGCTTGGGGAGATGCAATATCAATTCGGCGAAGCGGTGTCCTACCTTGCTGGTGTAGTACTGGTACATAATCCAGCTACGGCTAGGATCAACCTTCTTATGGCTCTGGCTGGATCCGCCCATGCTTAGAGTAGCGTACATGTGCATGTAGTGGCTGGCCATGTCCAGGCTGATGAGACCCTGGAAGAGGATGGCCCACCGGGGCCAGGCGGAGCTCAGGAAGACCAAGAGACACGCGGTAGTGCAGCGGTCGGTAACCATGTCCAGCACTGCACCAAAGGTGGTGGATTGGTTGAAGTATCGTGCTGCATAACCGTCCAAGGCGTCCAGCAGACAGGACACCGTATAGAGGAAGGAGCAGGTCCGGGGATGGAGGGGCATGTAATATAGCGAGGCGAAGGTCAAAAAGACTCGGGAATATCCTGGGGACGTGTTAAACCAGATGGCAACTCGAGACTTAAAGCCACATCAGCGGGGCATCCTACCGATAAGATTTGGGGTGAAAAGGAATATGTTTTCCTTGTTTTCCTTGCTCTCTTCCCGTGCGGCAGATCTGGCTCTCTTCTTAGAAGAGGCGCGCTTTGAAGGTGTCGACACGGAGCCATTGCTAGGTGAATCTTCGCTCTCCTCAGCGGCGAGGGAAGCCTTTTGTCGTCGTGTTCTTGCGCTCATTGCGATGTGAAAGAGATGTGACAGGTGAGCTTTTTCTCGTGTATGTCGTGGAGACGTATGGATACCAGACAGTTGGTCTAGGTGGTGTCAGTCGGGATGTACTGCAGATGCAGTAGTGATGGAGAACGCACCGTGTCCCCGAGATAAGAATAAAACGAATTTCCTCAGGATAAGGATAGGAGGCGTCCAGGGAACAAGGATTTCGACGATAAGGGAGATAAGCAAGCGCTGTTGACACGCACTTGAAACTTCCAAGATGTAAAATTAAAAGAAAAATTTAGACAGAAGGGATGAAAGGAAAAGGAGATTGTGGAATGACCTGCGGGTTGCTCGGAACCTTGGACTTGAGCTTTCCCCACGTGGTCCACTTGGAGATGATCATGATGTTTGAAACATACAACATAAAAACTGGACTTGAAACATTTGAGTCTCAGAAATTGTCGAATCTGTTTGTGATACTTCACAAAATTCTTGAGTCCTCGAGGTAGAATATAATGATACCTTAAAGTGCGAGTTTTGACCATCCTGAGCAGGGTGTTTTTATAGACATTGATTATATACGACTAGCCTAGAGGCACAAAAAAAATATTTACAGAACATAACCTCCAGATATACGGAGTTTAAAAAAAAGACCCCCATTCATGTCCGTGACCTGCGCGGATCAGTGGCATCCTGCCGACGCCACTCGCGAGACTCTTTAGTACCCATACTACCAACACCGCCCTCGAGACGACGCTCCCAGCCACCAAGGCGAACAACAAGACAAGTAGCATTGTCACCTTCTTTAGTGACCTCGGTCGAGAAACTGACCACATCACGCGCCCCCTGCTCCGGCGTCTTGGCCTCCTTGACGATATCAACGACCTCCTGGTCGAGGAGTGTTCCGCTGATGCCATCGGATACCAAAACCAAGAACGAAAACTCGGCCGGGCCAAGCTCGATACGCTTAAGTTCGGGCTCAGCAGAGACTCCGATACGCTTGGATTGGACATCGCCGAAAGCGCGCGTGTTGGCTAGCCCGCTCATGCGTTCTTCGCCGAAAGAGTCTGTTACAAAGGTTGTGGCATACCGTCGGAGTCGGGTGGCCTCGATCGGAGACGAGGGGTGGTGGTTTGATGTGATGGGGATAGCTTGGCCAGTTTCTGTTGAGCAGAGGAGTATGCGGGTGTCGCCAACATGAGCAACCAGCAGGCTCGATGGGGCGATGGGGTGCCAGAAGGAAGCTGGCGTCGAAGTAGAGATCATCGCGATGCTTCCGGTGCTGCCACCCTTGAACCGGGCGCTTCCGCCGATCTGGGGAGACCGGGTCATGCTGGGCCTATGAAAGATTTCATCTTCGTTCAGAGGTCTTTCGGCACGGACCAGATCATCGTCTCGCTTAGCCGCTTGAGCGTTGACAAAATCTAGATCCGCACGCAGGAAGGCGTACTCCACAACTTCCTCGATGGATATGTGGTTTTCAACAATCGGGTCGGCAGACTCGGTGCCATTGTAGGCAAAGTGCGGCGGCTTGAATCTCTTGAAGTAGCCACCAACTACCCGTCTCCAAGTCTGCATAAGATATTTCTCTAGGTCTCCGATTCTTCGCCGGTCGCCTTCCTGCATCACAGGTAGTTCGCTAGTGGTGGGTGGCACTTCAGCACCAGGCCGTAGGCTGGACCGAAGTTCGATATCAAATGCCGTGTTCTGGATATACTCATGCAAATAGTCCCTCAAGAACGAACTACACTCGGATCCGCCATGACCATCGAAGATACCGAAATAGAACACTTGTGGGTCTCCACTAGCTGTTTCTGCACCACGCGACTCCCGGGGGTGGGCCACAGGACCTTGTTGATTGGATCGCCTGATCGTTAGCGAAGTTGGAGCTCGCTTCGCAAAGGCGGGGATGTCAATGACGCCGGCTTGGTACGTGTCTTCATTCGAGGGGCGCGTTCCACGGGAGGTGACGGCGCCGAAATGGTGCTTTGCGTTGCGGAGTGGAATCCGCACGACTGTTGTCTCACGATCTATTAAAGCTTGGAAGGCAGCTGGCGATTGTGGGGTATCTCCGGTATGAGGAAGAGAAGCGGAGCGAGGGAGTTTATGAAATGGCGAGGACGGACCACGGGGATCCGGATGAAGTGAAGACGACGGCAGGTGGGAGACAAAGTAATCACGGAACTGTGGTTGCTTCCTAGCTGTTGACTGACCAGGCTGAACAGACTCGGTACTGTAGCATTGCGCTCGACGAAGGAGAGCGAAACCTGGGTTGTATTAGCTAGGCACTTCAAGGATCTTCGCGCAGATGAGCAGGTAGCTCTGGTCGCACATACTGTAACAGTCGGCCGAGGTCCAGACCCGGCCTGTTACTCGCCTCGATGAAAGGAGAGTCATTGGCTCATCGAATTATAAGGAAATAGCAAGGAGGAAAAGAAGGTTAAAGGGACTGGGCATGGGGAGAACGTACATGGCCCGAGCGTCGGCAGATAAGAAGACCCGGATCGGCATTTAGCTCTGTAGTGCGGGTTCCACTACATGACCATGTACATGATGTACTTGTACGTTAACTCTAATGAAAGCTATGTACATAGCTTGTGATACTTCACTAACACCATTTCCGTGAAGATCGCTTAGAATGGAAAACTGTGGAAGAAAGACGTTAATACTAGGAAGTAGACATAGTAGACATACGTAACCTTGAGATCCACTGGAGGACTACAAAGTAAGGGGACTACAAGTAGGGGGAAATATTCCATATTTGACGTAACTCCATTCATAACTTAACAGGGCAACAAGATGCTAAATCACGCTGCTAAAAACGATCATGTTGGTAGCAAGGTCCACTTCTTAGATCCACAGAAGGGGACGAAAGAAGAGACAAATGGCACACGAGAGTGGCCGAACAAGAAAAACAAGAAAAAACAACGCTGGAGGAGTGGCACCTACCGGGTAGCAGAGCCTTCCATTATGTCCAAGCAAGACGTCAGAGGGATCTGCCTTCAGAGAATGTGCCAGGTTAGATTTCGAAAAAAAAGCGGATGTACTCGGGGATGAGCATCTAGATGGCCTTAGTCCGGGAGAAGAGACTGCTGTAGACGGCGTCCACGACGGGTTGGGCGGTGATCTGCTTTCCGCCAAAGTATCGGCCATTAAGGCCCTTGATAGCATTCTCGCCACCTTGAACGCGATCGAACTTCAGGTAGATATCTCCCTGGGAACTGACATCTAGTGAAATGTGAACAACATGGCCGTATTTCTCCTCACACTCCGAGCGGACATCCTCCTCGAGTTCTTTGATCCAGGCTTCACCGGTCTCTCTGCAAAGAATTAAGCTTTTGTTCTCTTAATATGAAGTTGAAGAAACTCACTCGGCGGGGTCAAACATGTTGCGAAGCAAAACACACCGACTGGCCATGTTGACATTGATGGGAAGTGGCTTAGTCTCGGTCTTGGGTCGAAGGAACTTCTGACGGTCGTCGACAGAAGGTTGGGCATCATCTGTTCGTGCAAGCTTCCTCATCAACGCATCCCTAGAGTAGTTGTTGAAGTTCACACCAGCAACATCCGTATCGTCAAGCGCACTAGCACCGGCGCCCTTTTCGGTTTCTCTGCCACCAGCACGGTCAAAGTTGTTGGAACCTCCGGCTTGGACGCCACGGCCTCCCTGACCGGAGAACGAAGAACCCTGGAAGTTTGATTGGTTTGTAGAGGAAGCACCTGAGGGGCGATTGGCGTGCGCGTCGGGGGTGAACTTATCATTGCCGAGACCAACCCGAATAGCTCGTCCGGCAAGTTCAAATCCGTTCATCTTTTCCAAAGCGTCCCGAGCTTGTTCGGGATTGGCGAATCTGGTCAAAGTCAGTCGGTTAAAAAAAAAGCTAAGAATTTAAAAGGGGAAAACGTACTGAACAAAGGCATAACCCTTGCTTCTACCGGTTTCATCCTTTTGCAACTGAACAAACTCGAGCTCGCCGAATGGTTCGAAGACATTGGTGAGATCGTCTTCGGTAATGCTGAAATGGACGTTACCAACATAGAGCCTGTGGAATGGTGCGGTGTGCTGATTGCCTGCAGTAGCCTCGGGGTTGCGAGCTTGGCGGTTCTTCTCCGCTTCAGTCAGTTGCGCAATGATGGGGATTCCTAGGAGCATCTGGCCAGTGAGTCTGATGGCGGCGGCAACAGACTCCTCGTTTTTAAACTCGACATAACCGACACTAAACGGATATTAGCAAGCGTTTGTATGAACCAATCAGATGAGAACTTACCCTTTGGAGCGTCCGCTAACGCGATCTTTGACGATTTGAGCATCTTTAACGGGGCCGGCCTTTTCAAAGAAAGTAAACAGATCCTTGATTCTCAGACGAGCAGCAAGTTGCTGCACAAAAATAGTGCGCCTGTCACGTTCATCCTCATTAAGTTCTGGGGACTTGCGGCTGGGAGAACCACGTCGGGCATCCGCGTCACGGCGGGGGCGTCTTTCTTCCTCACGCTGGCGGCGATTGGGCCGGTAGTGGCGATCGTCATAGGGGGAACGGGAGCGGGAACGAGCGCGACCTCCACCACGATAGAAGTCACCACTGGAGTGGTAGTTGTCACGGTCACGGCGAGGACGGCGTCGCTCAGATTCACGACTCTTGCTCCTCTTTCGGCTTCTAAGGCTTCCGTTAGCACTAGCAGTGTCGCTCTTCATGACTTCATCGCCCTTGAGATCTCGATCGGGGCGGCGGTCACGGCTGTGGTCACGGCGACGGCGTCTGTCGCGGGAACGATCACGGCGCTCGCTGGGGTCCGCGCGGGAGTGGTCGTCACGGCCTTCCGAAGTGGTTGGGGCTTCGGTAGTGGCGGCCGCAGTAGACTCTAGAAGAGCCTCTACATCAAGTCCAGACATTTTGGGAGGTAGCCTGTCGCTGGTCGGGGTAGAAATATTGATCGGGGTGGGGGTAATATCACTTTGTAGGGGTCAGATGGCGGAAGGGGACGCAGAGTTGGTTTTCGAACCCTTATGATGGGATGGATCAGCGGAATCTTCCCTTGGTTTCCGGCGCTTTAATGCGCTCTCTGGCTCTTTCTTGCAAGGTCACGCCTTAAGTGCGACTAATTTCGAGGGAGTTGTATGAGCACTTGAATGTTGGTATGGTATAGTATTTAAATAATTTGGTTGGTCGCAAGGCCCAAAAGGCCCGAGGCGGTGACAGGCGGAAAATTGTTCGGCCGAGATATTTTCCGTGGCGAAGGCTTTGGGGTCCTAAATTCTGTTGGTGGCAAAACAATACGCCGAGCCACATCCTTCGAGCCACACGACCTTGCAACCTTGATGTTGTACATCTGTTGTACATCTATACTTCTAACATTACATACATGGAATATACCTGCCGAGAATATGCCTTTTCCTCTAGCTCTCCCCCTGTCTGTACGACGCTTTGAATGGAGCCTGTTCTTTCAGATCATTCAAGATCCCACAATGGTGACAAATGCCCAAATGAGTAGGCAAAAGTGCACCTTGGTGAATATGGGAAACTAGTGAGTCTAGCATGAAGCAGGTAGCATAAAGATGCAAATGTTATTTTCTGGCATTATGATTAACGGTCATATACACTGATAAGTGATGCTTGTTAAAGAAAAAAGAATCAACTTCGTCTTGCATCTAGCACCATCACAAGTGATGGCATGACGAAGTCTACTGTACAAGAAGTAGACCCCTGAGACCAACCGGAAACTCCATAGTAGCCAATGTACTTGAAGAGTATCGAAGAGTAGTATCTCGATCGTACTCGGCGTTAAATCGTGACTTAAAGGACTAGTGACAGCCCTGTATTGATGCTTGGATTCATTGTGCTTACTGAGCCTTCACGCCCTTGGGGGTTGGGGACACCAATTCAGTGCCGAAGACTTGATCCCAGAAGCGACTAGTCACGCCAAATCCATTCTCGTAATCGGCGAAATGGTGCGCGAGGTGGTACTTCTTGAGATCCTTGTAGCAAGAAGGGAGACTGGATCTATTGTTAGCGTGTATTCATTGTATCAAATAGAGAGTTCAACTAACTTGCGGTGGTGCAGGAAGTAATGGGTGAGATCATAGCAGATATACCCGAAAACGCCACCACAGAATACCGACGCAGCCGCGTACCAGTTGTAGAAGAAGACTGCGTGTGCCAGCTTCCAAAAAGGAGCAGCCAGTACCACGAATAGTGTCGGTGGCATAACGAGACGATACTTGTCCATCGGGAGATAGTGATGGATACCGTGGAGCAGGAAGTGCAGGGTAAGACCGACACGGTTGTCCGGAAGCCAGTGATCAATGTGGAAGAGGAATCGGTGCATCAGATACTCGATCAAAGTCCAGAGGCACACACCACCGGTGAAGTAGGAGGCAGCAGCAGTGGCGCTACCCAGCCCAGTAGCTCCCACCGTTATTCCGTAGGCAACACATGGCAACCAGATACTTGGCACGACGTACCACGCGGTTTTGCTGAGAGGCTCTAGGAAGTTTCCGAACAGAGGGGCAGACTCCCCTCCCCGATAGTGACGAGGCCGATGAATCTGCTCCAAGTAGAACTCCTTGGAAAAGTTGCTGTACCACAGTTGCATCAGAAGCGGCTTGTTTAGGTCGAGGAACTTGTGTGTTTTGAAGTCCTGGTTAAAGTCGGTATCAATCGACATATCCTCCTCCCGCGACATTCCAGTGGCTGCGTAAACGGGGCCAGACTCATTTTCAGTCGCAGTTTCAGTTTCGATGACAGTTGTCGTTGTAGTGGTTGTGGTTTTGCCAGGCGTAGAAACATTCGAGACAAGCCCGATGCGATACTCCTCCAAAATTTCATAGGCAGCATCAGTGTGTTCGTGGGAGATCTCGTCCTTCAGGATATCTGTCACATCCTGACCGGCATACTCTAGGATCAAATCACCACCACCGGGGTGCGCATCGAGGAAATCGGTGACATCGTAAACGTTAGACCCCAAGGTGATGTAGCATGACTTGGCGGTGTTGTGAGATTTAACATCGGCGGAGGTAAACGTCGGCAGAACTCTCCCAGGCATGTTGGCAGAGAGTCGATAGAGAAATAAAATAAAGAAAACAAGGAAAATCGGGAAAATAGGGTAGGATGGGAGATAAAAAAATCCGAAAGGCAGCACTAATAGGAATTACAGGGGTGGCGTGACACCAAAAAAAAACGAGAACCAGGGATCCGCCCGCTCCCGGAGGAAAACTTGGATTTCTCAACTTGCAATTGGATCAGGCCACAAGTTTCAACGGGATCCATATCAGAGTTGGAGTGATAGCCTATGTTGCAAGAATTAACTATGTACGGAGTACTCCCCGTACATAGTTAATTCTTGCAACATACAACATTTTTCATTAAAAAAAAAAATTGCAAGGTACTAGGTTATGGACACAGTTATGTACATAACTTTATCTTTTTAACTGGATCGGTGGGGCTGTTCTATCTTAGCCGCCTTGATGATTGACCTCGGGAGGACATCGCGATCCAGGCTTAGCTCAGGTGCTCAGCGGATAGGAAGATGTAATTTAAAAAATTATAGGGGGCCTGAAACAGAAGCATTCGGATCTATTGTGTCTGGGAAGAAGACCAATGGTCAAAAGCTCGCGAAATGGGAACAACCAATGAGATGCGCCAAGGGTCCAGGATTGCCGCTTTCTCCTAAACAATCTGGTGTTGCGGAGTCCAACTATTCTCGATCAAATGCGACTTCAGAGTACCTACGAGCGTGGCATCTTATTTACTTAGTTCTAAATGCGGGTGCAATCTAGAGATGTCAAAGATTTCGATACCTGGAACCGTTGAGATGAAAATTGCCAAAGATAGAGACCACCTACCGCCAAAAAGCTCTCAAATATAGCTCTATGACAGCTGATGACTAGGCCACAAGGAGAAGGACCACCAAATCCTGGGCTGGCAAAGCCCTCATATAGAGAAAATGATAGGGAATGGAACGGCGAGATAGAATGCGTAAGGGTCCATCTCAGTGCAAGAGAGCTTGCTTGGTGAAGGGAACAATGCCCAATGCCGTTGAAGTGGTCACAAGTACAACCTCCATAAGATGACAAAGGTTTTATTGGTGAATCAGCAGCGGCTGACGGTAAATGTGAACATAAGAGATAATTAAACATCAGTCACTATCGGATGTAGCATGTGTACAGATTCTGTACTTGATAGCCAGACAGGTACTTAGCTACTTTGTACATGCAACTGGAGCACTGTGAACAGGTGAGCAGATCATTTCAGACTCGCCAATTATATTTTATATAGTGCAAGTTGTGAGGCTATACCGAGATAGGAATAGATGTGTCGACTATACCCAAATAGGCTTAGATTAGATTCATCAGGTTAAAACTGCCAAACCGCTCAACAACCCAAACTGCTAACTTCTTCGACAAGTTTCTCAGCAATCCTTCTTGATTCCAAGATTGGGGCCCCATGTACCAGACTTGTTTCTCGTTGACCAACTGATCGATCGGATTAACACAAACAGGGACATTCGCAGTTGGACCCCATTCTGGTTCCATCACTGGAGACGAGCCCCACAAGCGTATCGGCCTGACAGGAACAGAAAATCTGATCTTTCGGGTAGAAGCGAAACCCGAGATCTCCCAGAAAGACCCATTGAACTGGCCAAAGGCCACCCTAGCATCTATTAAAAGTACAGCATACTAATTAGTACATATCAAGTATGTATCTTGAACTCCGGACTACTTCGTACGATTTACGGAGTACAGTGTAAGATGATCCCTGTAGGCGCCCGGCTCTCGGCTCATGTCTCCACTGAGAGTTTAGTGTTATCCTACGCGGTACGCGGGGCTATGGTCGGAACGATGACTCCGTACTTCCAACGCTATCATGGCTTATTTATTGGTCTTTGCGTGGTCAATTCCAAATTGAAGCAGGGATTAGACATTGCACTAATTAGTTGTGGAGATTTCAGCCCCCTCTTCCTTCCCACATTCTCTACCTTTGGTTTTCTCATCTCTTTTGGACTTGCGCTCTTCTCTTTTCCATCATACGATATACCCTTCCACGCTCACTTCCTTTCATCTCCCCATAATGTCGACCATGGGGGACTGGTCCCCCGAGAACCCAATTCTGGCCTACCTGCAGACATTGACGGCCACCAAAAAGACCCTTCCTTGTGGGCAGCCCGTCGTCGCCCACGCTTCCGTCAATCACATTGACTCGGCCTCACTCGTCCAGCTGGCCGCAGATATCGGCCCCTACATCGCCATACTACAAATTCCTGCCGATGTGATCGACGACTGGTCCAGCGATACGATCGAACAGCTTCAGGATTTGTCTAGGAAACATAGATTCTTATTGTGGGAAGGAAGCAAGATTCTGAATCCTATGGTTAATTTCATGGGCAGAGCGGATGCCCCGTTGGAAACAAGGCAGGCCTTGGCAGACTTGATCAAGAAGTCATATACCAGTGGCCCATTGAGGACGGCGACGTGGTCCAATCTGGCCACCTCTTGGGCACCCGCAGCTCCAGTGGATCAACAAGAAAATGATATCTTGATTCCAACCTTGAGATTGGCCGCCCGCGAGGCAGTTGCGATCACTGCAAAGATCATCCAAACCGAGATCTCTGCCGAGATGAACAACTACTCCTTGGGCGAGGAAGTTGAAATCCCCACCCCCTCCACAGATACAAGCAACGGTTGGAAAGAATTCAGTCCGAACTGTATGGGATCGGCATTACGGAAATCGTCAACCATCTCGGTCACGACTGAGTCTGTGACTCTACACTCGCACCTTCACGCAGATGACGGTGTCCCCATCCCCCCGCAACTGGCCCGCAGCGTTGCACTCTGTCTACCCGGAACTATTGATACCGCATTTACCCCCGAATTCCGCCAAAGCACCATCGTCGCCGCATGTGCCAACTCCGATTTTGTCATCGGATTTGCAACGGAAGAGCCCTTTTTCGTAAATCACCGAGGAAACTCTATCTTTGAATTGGCATTATTCGATGGTAACGGGAGTGCCCAACTAGGTCTCAACGCTGCCAAACTCGCTACGTTGCCTTGCCTCAACGAAGACCGAAAATCACTCGGTGTATTCTCTCTTGTGTCACCCATTCTTAGCCACGGCTTTGAATTTGATTCCACCTTCAAGCCCGATGGAATAACACCATCTGACCCTGACTCTGAAACTCCATATACTGCGCAATACCTGCACTACATAGTCAGGCAAGCGGTAGCTCTTCGAGAAAAGAACCGAGCAGAGTATGAAGGCACCGAGCTTGGAAAGGAAACACCAGTGGGCCCGAAAATCATGCACTTTCCAGTTGTTATTATTACATAATGTCCTTTAGAGAGCGCTTGTTGTTTTGCATACTTGCTGGCCGTTGTTTAATTCTGATGGCTCCATCTCTGAAGGTTGGCAACTTTGGAGTTGAGCGTATATTCTTTAGTTACGCCCATCTTGATTTACTTTTTGACACCAGCCACTATTTCCAAGACTCGCTTGTGTCGGTATCTACACCAAAAGTGTCTTGTACATATACCACTGAATTCGATAAACAGATAATTGACAGGTCTTACTTGTGCCCGTGCTCTATCTAGAATGCGAGGCATACCTATTTGCAAAGTAAAAATATTGTTAAGAAATTGACGCCCGAACTATCAGGCACTAATATCCGCTCTTAGTCATCTTGTGGGAATCGCACCGGGCCCGGGAGCGCCAAAGTGGGCATGGATTCAACAGTGAAAGTGCTTTCATCTCTATAGACATCCTGGTTTGTCTTCACTTGGAGCCTCTATCCATTAAGTTTTGTCCTTGGTCTTTCTAAGTCTGATCACCGAATCAAACTAGTGTTGGGTTGCCAAACAATTGACCTCATCCACCTTAAGGGAACACCAACTGTTGTCTTCACTATGGACACTTGAGACTGGAAAATACTGAACTACGACAATACATAACACAACTCCGTCGACAGACTCCTTTTGATGTCTTTATCTTCCAATGTTTTCCCTTCACGGCCACCATCTCGCGCCAGATCATAGTCACAGAGAATTTCGGGAAACTCAACAGCCATGAACCCAGCCCAGGCTCAAGGCCGTCAAAATGGGCTTTCAGATCAAAATGATCTCCAAGAGCAGAACGAGCAATCACCCATTAAAGCCATATCGGAAAATGGTGATCTGATTCTCGAATATATCGCTCCCGGTGACTCCTCATCGTCACCCACCAAGCGCAAATGGCGGGTGGCAAGCGAGCGTCTTACTTCTCGTAGTCCATATTTTCAAGCACTACTGGACCCCACCAAGTTTTCCGAGGGAAGGCAATTCAGTGCCCAAAAGCAAGCCTGGAATGAAACACAAATACCAGACTCGACTTTACAGCATGCGCTACCAACCGTCAGGCTTCCCAGCGTGCACTCTATCAGCCTGTGTGGAGAAGATGCCATCGAACTATTTCTGAAGATTCTATGCCTCGATTCTTTCGACGAAACGGAAAGAGCGGTGTTTGAAAATGAGCTGAAAACCCAGTCTGCATCGCTTGTTGCGAGAATGATCGACCTTGCTGATTCACTCAATTCTCCTCGTGCTGTCCATGATGTTCTGCAGAGGATTGGATATTTATACGGCAAATCGAAGCCGGCACTCCTTGCCAGGTTTAACCCAGCTCTTTTGTCAATGAAGGAAGATCGGATTCGACAAATCATCTTCATATCCGCCTTCCTCAATGATCTAAGACTCACTAGAATCATGACCCATGCCTTGCTCATTGTGGGCTCCAAGTTTTGGATAAACGGTCTGGATGCCCCTCAAGAAGATTCTTTGCGCTGGAAATATTTACCAAATGGTTTAGAAGGTGGGTTTCCGGAGAGTGCATCCTAATGAGTTCTTGTAAGCTAAAACATCTTTGTGCAGAGGAAATCTATTGTCGCCGTCAATATGTTTTAAATACCATTACCGACCTACAGGCTCATTTTCTTCGTGTCTATGGGGGTCTGGAGGAAACCGACACTGCAAGGTCCGTAGCAAGCAACAGAACATTGGGCGCAGCTTTCACCGCGTCTGCACATGTGCTTTTTCAATCTCGTCGATTCCAATGCCGAGGTGGATTCAACAACGCTAGCCAATGTGACCTCTTCCAACTCGGCCAGATGATCCGATTTTTTTCAATGCGTGCCAGGACGATCTTTCTAGGATCAACATTGATAGATCCAGACTTCAACTCAGCTCCCAACGATAGTGATCACACACCTGGCGAATCCAAGAACGACCAACTCCCAGGCCCTCCATCTGATCTTACCGCCATCATCGCCTCTCTCAAACAATATCCCGACTATGCAATCGACGAAGCCCATACCGGTTGCGGTGTCCGACGTCGAATCATGCCTGCTTTAGAATGCATTGAGAAATTCGTCTGGGATGACCGCGGTCTCCTTGGTGTCACCCCAGGGGTCTCGGATACTACTGTTTCAGACCCTCTTCGACCCTCCAAATGGATGCTCTGGGAAGACTTCACGCGTACGAAACACACGGTTGATATTTCTTTTGCGAGAGTCACGGCTGTGTACTACCCTTCAGCACCGTTGAAAAACCAAGCCACCCGTTCCACACCCCAAGAAGAACTCGGACGGCTGTTGTTTACTGCTGCTCGGAGGGATTGGAGTGCGGTGGGCTCAGGCTGATGTTCCAACCACTAGATATAAACGACTAGCCTATTTATACCACAATCCATGCACTTACAAACAACGCGATGGTCTCTTGGTACGAGCCTGGGCCGATTTGCTACTTCGCCGACTATGTTATGACTTCGACATTTCTAAGGAATGATTGGGGCTTGTCATTTCCAAACTCTAGAAGTCTACTGGCAATGCATGATCCGTTTTAGATTGTGTCTTGATCATAAGCGAGTCAAAACTCTGAACTATCATTTCGTGCGCTGGAACTGGTCATGGAGTGGAGAATAGTGTGCAACCTGGCCTTGGGTTTCACTGATTGAGGACGGAAAAATTGCCAAAGACATCTCTACAAATAACGAATGCATGGCCCCAGGCGAAGTACACTCTCTAGTGGCGATTACTTTCTATGTCAACACAGAGTGAACACAAAAAGAGAGCACATGCTTAGTTGCCAGGTTCAGTGTCCACCTCGTGCAGCTACTCACGTCACTGTGACCGAAGAACCACGATAAAATCTATCGCTTAACGGCAAGTCCGAAATACGACAGAATGAACGAAGAGAATGAGAATCGAACTTGTTTCGCCCGGTCTAGAATTCGCATGTTCTATCCACGGCTGGGTTCCGGCTGGCTCCATACATCCAGGCCTCGGTGGTACATGGGCCTCGATGATCTGGCTCTGGGACAGGGTTAATATCGGAGGGTCTATGAGGGGGAGCAGATGTAGACGATGGACTTGGATTGTAGATCAAGTGAGATACAAAATCTGTGTACATGGCAGGATTTCAAACACGTGTGATTTTTCCAAATGCCAACATAGAGGAAGTATCAAAGTCTCAGTTCGAATGTACAAGAAGCTACCGTATACAAACTCCAGTAATCAGTGTAGTTGGAAAAGTTCTGAGAAACACGAATCACTTTTCTCTATAGTGCCTATATGAAGACAGGTGTAGAATTTTTCTCTTTCTTTTGATGGCATGCAAATGAAGCGACAGAAGAAAAGAACCCGAATCCAGATAACTGCAGAGAGATTTTCCAATTTGATTCTGCGTCCATTTTGATTTGCTGCTTTTTGTTTTCATGTGGTCACCAACATGGATGCCAACCGTTCAACATACCGGATCACCCCAGAAGTACCCCAGGTCAAGTTCCAGATTCGGACCGGATGGGAAGAAAGAGCCCGTGATCTGACCAGTGGTTGGATCATAGGGGAAACATTCATCAAATGAGCTCCGACCCGAGAGATCCTTCTCCTGTTTGATGAACTGATCGAGTAGATTCGGCGCATCCAGGTCGTAGGAGTCAGGCATGGCGAGAGGAGTAGTGTTGGATTGGTCCATCGGAGAGCAGGCGATTGAGTCCAGCTCGGCGGAGATCGCATCAACTGCCACTGATGCAGGAATAGTTGCGGACGGGTCAAATGCCACATCATCCGCTGCTGGCTCTTCTGCCACTGCAGCGGAGTCCGCGGTATCGGGAATATCGAAGAGGGGATCTGACTCTTCGGTGCTTGGGAAATCATTCACGTCAATTCCAATGTGTGGTGCCAAACGGCGGAGGAATCCATCGCAGAGCTTCCAGGCTCTTTCTGACGCCATGTTAGTTTTGGATAGCGTCGATAGCCAGTCCAGGGCTTTCTTTGCAGCTTTGGAGACCATCGTCGCTTTCTCGGGGACATGCTGGGCCCGGAAAGCCAACTCGAGCAGGAGAACAGTAACTGCCTGCATCAGATAATGTAATGTGCACCACCATGGCGACATGCGGTATAGCAGCACTGCGTCGGGGGTATCCGGGAATAGCGTAAGCATGTGACATGCAGCCTCGATACATTCTGCCGCAGTCTTGTTGCAGAACTCATAAGTCTTTTCATCCTCCGAGGAGGGTTGATCCAAACGACAGAGGCACGGTCGGGTGATTCCGATTTTGGTGCTGTAAAACAGAAAGGCAACGCCCATACGCTGGCTTATGGGGCATTGGGATGTCTGTGTCGAGGTGAAATCGTATGCAGCAGGGAGATTCATGAACCATGAGTCAATTTCAAGCATCAGGCTCTTGATGGTAAACTCGGTGCTTGCCCATGGGGACTGCAATGCTTCTGGGCTGTAGAGTTTTACAGTCATCCGCTTGGAAATGCTGGTCAGGGAGGCCAACTGTAGGAAGTAAAGTGAAGTGCAAGGCGGAAGACTCTTGAGATACTCTGCTCGGCTCATCTTTGTCTCTCCCTCAGCAGGCAGATCGTTCGAATCAGAATCAGCCGTTGATTCTAGGTCCTCTGCGCTATTGTTGGTGGGCACCCGCTCGGAACCACTGGCTGTACGGAGCACAGCTGTGCCTATCAGCCGAGCCACCTCATCCTTTTGGAAATCACTCTCGTCAAAAGGAACAGGCATTGGTGTAGTACAAGAGCTGTCAATGACACATGAGGGACGCCCAGTCATGATAGTAAGTAGATGATCCATTGTATATAATGACCACCACACCCGATATCGTATCTCTTTGGAAGTGTCCGATATGCTCACACCCACGTTGCGCAAATGCAATCCAAGAGCCAGAGCTCCTCGAACTGCACTTCCGGAAAGTTTCCAAGCCCTGCATTTTACCAAGCCAACGCCGTGAGTATAGAGTTACAGAATGTGCAGGCTGTCAACTTACCGATTGATATGCCCCGATGCAATCAGATAGAACGAAGTAAGCCCCTCGACTTGCAACTGCTGTAGGTCAGGGTGATGGAGCATCTGATCTTCCAAACTCAAGGCCCGCGCCCTTGAGAAGTACATTTGATGATCATCATCATCTTCCTTCCAGCCTGAGTTTGTCAATTGCCCATATTTAGCAGCAATAGCAAAGATCAGATTGAGTATAGCGAGCCACTTGTTTCCTGGCTTGAGAGAAGGTTGACTGAAAAAGACCTGGAATTGAGGGACAAAGGTTGAAACCCCAATGATTGGGAAGGATGGATGCACCGAAGTCAGATAGGCATTGAGCATTTTGCCTGCCGTTTCCCGTGATGGGATTCCATACTGGTCATTTTGATCTGCCGTTGGAATATCCAAATCATCAAGATAATAGTTGGAAGCCACCACCCATGGCTCGCTTGGATTCTCCGTTCGAGGCGTCAGAGTTGGAGAGGGCAGACCATTCTCGTCATCTGTGTTGGGAAGAGTTGCAGGCCAGGCCTCACATTCACTATTGACCTCTTTGCTAAGCCTTTGAAGCCAAGTGATCTCGGAGCTTTTTCCAATGAAGCCCGTTGCTCGTGCAGTTTCATCTCTGTTAAAGTCTTCCTCGGTCTGGTCACCGGATTCAAACGGACTAACGGATGATGCTCGGGAGGGCGGTGGCTCAGAACCCGCATGCCAGGAAATCCTTCGTTCTCCAGCTGCTGCAAGACATGTTTCTGGGTTGAATGCCACTTCAGGGGCCGCTTCCTGGTTGGCATTAGATAGAACAGTTATCGAATGTGAATCAAACTTCATACCGCTGCCAGGGCAATGTTCACAAGCTGCTCATCAGACACACCAAAACGATTGCTCAGCTTGCTAATAACATCTTCGTATGCCTGCACCTTTGCAGACAAGCTTGCTAGCTGTCTATTTTTGGTTGAGTTGGTTAGAGGCGTCAGCTCTTGCAATGACATCCGTGCACTTTTATCTTGACTCTGCATACCGTTTGGACTTCTCTCTTTTGCCATCGGTGTAGCAGCAGATGATTCCAGCCTCTCGACAATTGCGGCACCCGGACTTGTCTCCGGTGCATTTCGTCTTCCGTTGTCTGCAAGACTCGCATGCCCGACGAACGTGTCGACGATGAAACCTACCAGGAGAAGTGAAGGCAGATTCGGCTCCTTCCGCTAGTCGCGGGATGGCCATTTTCTTGGTGCCCACTTCGGATTCACCTCGTTGAAGATGAGAAACTGGGTAATCCTGTCGATGCTCTATCAGATAACACTTTTGGCTAGGAAGGATCATGATTTCACACTTACCACACTGGAAAACTGATTACACGTGTCTGAATCAGCACACGATAATTTGAAGAGGCTCTGTTGCTCATTCCACGAGGGAAATGGGATATTACTCATGGTGAACCACAAAAGATATGATCACTGAAGTTGGTCACTAAATGTTAGTGGAATTCGTGACTACGTTATCTTCACTCTATTGACTTACTTGGATGAGTCTGGGTCGTGTACGTCCCAGAGAGCCGTTGATGTATATTGAAATGACAATGTCAACAACTGGTTATTGCCGTGACATATGCCAAATCAAATAGTCAGTACACTGGTGTGAGTCGAGAAGGAAAGTAAGGGGACTTTATAAAAAATACCCCAGTATTTGACCCATGAGAAGAAGCATGTATCGGCGAAGGATGAAGGGAAAAAGGGTTCGGGCTCGGGCACCGTTGGGAATCGTGAGCTGGTCAAGCCCGATAGATACTCTGTGATGACATCCAAATGCTCGTTTAGGGTAATGAGTAAATGAGCACCATTGGCCACTCGTTCGCCAAATCAGGAATAGTTGTGTACGGGTTTGCCTCAGTCTCCTTGTTGGGTATGGGGCGAAAGTTCAACGTTTTCATGAGCAAAATGTCTTGTTTTAGTTATTGATCACGCTATTTGCCATTAACCAAACAGTCTATATGGACTTGGATGGATCTGATTACTCCAGAAAGCCTGAATTATTGGCTTAACCATCTTATTACCTCTCCCGGTGATCCGTCCGTTTAACAGGGTCAGCTTTCGGTTGTTAGTACCGACTAGCTCTGGACTCCGATGCAGCAACCAAGGGTCGTGATATGGGATTCAAGTCGAAATTGCATTCTTGGAACCTTACAGAGTCCGCAGTGCCAACCTCTAGGGGAGCCCCAGGGCCGTCCTTACAAGTCTGAATTGTGTGCTTGAAGGAGCTCATGAACGTACTTTCGCAGACTTGGACTAGCCATCTCTCACAAATAGAATATGAGGACTTCGCCAAATAAATCGTAAATAGTGAATAGTGTCTAGGTGGCCCAGACCCAGGGCTTCGAAGTCAATCTGACGTTAGACAGTGGCGGCACCGACGTTGAAAGTGGTTCGTCCCTGGTTGGCATTCAGGCCAGGATACCTCAATTCGGAAAGAGGATGATAAGCCCCCAAG